CTACTTCACTGTCAGGGCGGCTAGGATCTGGAACCAACTTCCAAGAGAAGTGGTGCTGGCTCCTACCCTGGGGGTCTTTAAGAGGAGGCTAGATGAACACCTTGCTGGAGTCATTTGACCCCAGTACTCTTTCCTGCCATGGCAAGGGGTCAGACTAGATGATCTGCTCAGGTCTCCTCTGACCCTACCAACTATGAAATTATGAAAAGCAATAAAGTCCAGAGCCTTTGGATCTAAAGGCCAACAGCTTGCGTACCCTGAGCAAAAAAGCCCACATGTATTCATTCAGAATGTTGCACAATGACAACTGTGTGCAGAGATCTAGACCTACACTCTGGAACTGTTAGCCTCAAGTGCATGTTTCTTTGGCTCCTGAAAAGCAGCACAGGAGCTAGATCCTCAGCTAGTGTGAATTGCTAACTGTTTATACCTGCTCAGGGTGTGGTTCTTAGCATGACTCAGGAATGCTTTGTTTCACTATGTGTATCATGTTTTTTACAGTGAGATTATCAAATACTTTCTTCCCACAGGCAAATGGCAAGGACCTTCCTACCAACATAACCTGGATTCTGGCCTGTCACTCCCAAAAGGCAACGTGAACCAAGCACTGTGTAGGGAAACTGGAGTCTTACACATTCTGATTCAGAATTCAGAACACACAGTAGGGATACTCCTCTCTAGTACAGGTTCCACTTAAAATGTACAGGAAACAGAATATTTTTTAAGCCACTAACTCAAAAAAAAATATGAATAGTTTCATGGTACATGGTAAGAATGCACTTTCCACTAGAGAACATTGTTATTAGTTTACACCTGAAAAAACCTGGGGTTCCTGGCTTGTGGATCTTGCGTCTCCACTCAGGATCAGACTGATCACCACATCTGGAGTTAGGAAAGAATTTTACCCCATAGTCAAACTGGCACTGACCAGGGGTAAGCAACCTTTTCCAGCAGCTGGCCAGAATGACCCACCCCAGGTCAGAGGCAGGTGGACAGGTGCTAGAACCCAGCCAAAGCCCCCTGACATTGAATGCCACCAAAGCCCCACATGCACAGGCTGGATCCAATGATTCCTTAGGTCAAATTCAGCTTACACGTTGCTGACTCCTGGCACAGACTGTGCGGTTTTTGCTTTCCTCTGCAGGAGGGGGCATGGTCCTCTTCCTGGGATCTTTCAAGTGGATTTGAACAAATAGCAATGGAAGGACATTGATAGTGCCCTCATCTCCTTGCTTTTGGGCAAGTGAGGTGTTCTTTGAGTTCTGGGGCACTGGGGTTGTTCAGGTAGTTTTAAGAACAGGGTAGACAAACACTTGTATAGTGTGGTTTAATCAGAGATGATCTTGCCTTGAGCTGGGGGTTAGACCAGATGACCTCCCTGAGAGCCCTTCCAGCTCTACTTTTGTATGATTCTATGACAAATTCACAAATCAAAGCAGTGCAAAAACTGGCTCAATGACACTATATATTTTAAATCAATTGTGAGTCTTTTTTTCCCCCCCTGAGGGCAAGAAATACATCCCTTAGTACAGTTTATCTGACACTGCCCCAGTGTTCCCATGACAAGAGATATGTAGCACCAAAATGAAAACAGAAGAGAAAACAGACTTATCACTGATAAGTCGCCTTTCAGCTTTGATTGGGAAATTCAAAAAGGAGAGAGAAAAAAGAAAAAGAGTCAATGGTGTTACTTTGGAATTACATTATTTTAACAGAGATTCAAATTTGGTTCTGTGGTTCTAAGAGACTGCAAATACCACTGGAAAATACTTACACAGAAATTTCTTCTTCTTTTCCAAGGGAAATTCATGAAAGGTTTCCCAGAACATCTTCACTGTTGGGTGTGTAGCAGAGTAATCCCCTTTGTAGATAGTGCTCTGTCAAGAAGAGCCACCAACATTTAACTTACAAAAAGTAAAAACTAAAAAGAAATGTCAACCCAGAACTAGCTTCCCTTAGAGTCCTAAGTAGGAAGAAAGTAGACAATATATTTCCAGCTATTTATTTGAGAAAAAATTATAGTTGTTGAAGTGGAACCATGAATGGGAATTTACAGTCTATAATATAAAGCCTGTATTACTTGGTCTGTAGTTTGTTTCTCTGTTCCAAATGTTAGTACATTATATGCATGCCCTAACAGAATACACTTTAACCACATGAGGGGGCATCACAAGATTTATGGACCACTTAAGTTCTAGGCCTTGTGCTGCTCTTCCTTTGTGCTGAGATGAATTTTACCAAGACTGTTCATGTTTATACCTTCCCCTAAATCTCAAACTTCAGGCCTAATAAAAAAGAGTAAATCCTCCCTCATTCTGCCTCAAGCCAGTAGAAAGATAGCTTAGCAGTCTAACAGCTTTTGAGTGCCTAAGAAAAAAGTACCCAAGAATGGAAGTGGAAGGGAGTAATTTAGCTCATCTCCTTCCATCAGAGACCCAGTATTAAGACCATGGCCAAAACTGTACCTACTTGTAAAATAAGATGTCTTAGGTACTTTAATGGCCCCCATTCCCATAATATCTGAACACCAGGAAATCTTCACCACACAGGTAGACAGAGGCAGAGAAAACTTTAGTGACTTACCCAAGCTCACACTGCAAATCTATGCAAGAGCAGGGACTTTATCATCAGTCTCCCAAATCCCAGGTTAGTGTCCTAACCTCTGCACCACCCTTAACAGTTCCTGTACCCATGAAGGAAAGTAAAGAAAGTCCTCTGTAAGTTTACCTCTTCCAGTTCCTCCCAGTTGTAATTGCTGTTCCCAACTATCATGGCCCTCAGCTCTGTGGGCTGAAAGAGTTCAAGCACTTTCCCACCACACACTTTCAGAAAGCCAGTAGAGAAGGCTGTATACCATTCATGGACTGAGAGATTGAAGATATAATTCACATAGGCATCAACAAATTCTTGCCTGGCATGTTGAGAGAAGGTGGGAAAGAGAAATACTGTTAATTCATGTTGCAGAGAAACTTGGTTGCCAGTTTTACTAAGAAGTGACCATTCATGCTGTGGGTTGGAAATACACTCAAAAAGGAGGGGAAAAAGAAAAAGAGTCTCTCGTGTATTTAAAAAAATATTATAAAATGGCCGAACTGATCAGGAGGCCAAGAATAAACATTTCCAGGACATACCAGGTCCTCCAAGCTTCATTTTCTTATAGCTTCTCCCTGTGATATGCCACTGCAGTAGCCAGTGTAAAGACTTAAATGGCAAGTGCTAATATGCAAGCATCATCCTATATCTGTTTAACTTGTTGGTAGTGGCAACAGAGTCTCTCAGCACATGCTGTGCATTATTAATACAAACATGCATAAAGGCAGGCATCCAGCTGCCCAGAGCATTGAGGGCTGAGTATGAGGCAGGGCAACTGAGCCTTTGGGAGCTGCTAAGGCACAGACGCCTTTTTTCTGCTGTATGCATTTTAGTCCATTTAATAGACAATGTTACATTAAAGAAAACATCAGGATTAGGTCTCCTTAGGAACACATCCAACTTCGAGCCCAGATTGAACAACTGTACAGTCAGGAAAACACTCTGCAGTTCTTTTCAGCCATCAGGTTATGACAGAGGTACAGGGAGGTATTCAGCCCAGCATTTCCTCTCCACTTTTCTGATCTGCTGCTTTCTAAAACTAATCAGGTCTAGGAATCAAACTAAGCAGGTTGAGAGCAATGCCAACATTTTTAAAAAATAACCTAATATGTCCACATTTTGGCATCCATTTTACCTCCTCATTCCAGTGAGCCCCTGGGAACTGCTAGGTGCTCAGCACGTTTCAGAAGCCTGAGTATGGACATGAACACGAGGTCCCATTTTCTAAGTTTTGATCTAAACCTTCTATAATTTCACTCTTTCCTCTTAACAGAAATAAGGGGGAAAATGTCTAGTTAAAAATCTACGTAAAGCCCTTTAGTCAAGCCAGTTTACAGTATTAAAGAAACGCTTATCCCAAGCTATGCTGAGATGAACACAAGTGCCATTATTACTGCATCCACAGTTGGGGGACACATGTCTTCAACTGTCAGTTTTTCTACCAGTTACAGTTAAATCATTGTAAAAGTAGCCCCAGGAGTGCTGACAAGGACAATGAGCAGGCTTTCCTCAGGCATAGAAGAACCATCCTATTTTGCTTTGGGGATGATCAAGAGCCATAGTCTTCAATAAAGACAATGTCTGGTAGTCCTTGGCTGGAGCCATCTTTAGTAAGAGGGTAAATTCATTTATTCTATGCCTATCCTTCCTTTTCTTATAATACTGACACGAGAATGGGACACACAACAAAACACTTCCCCTTAAATAGGGCTTACAGCACACTTCAGTGCACTAGACAGCACAAATTTATGACTAAAAACTTCCCCTACAGGCTGCTGTTTGGAGTGCAGGTAGACAACTATGCCATTGGTGTCTACATAGCATTTGATAACAGCTCATGCTACAAGCTGCAAGCTTGCTAAGCAGGTCAGGAAATCCAGCAGTCACATATCTGTCTCCCTAAATGAGGAAGACAAAATGTTTTGTTTAAAAGTTTTGTTTGAAAAAACACTCACCTCCAAGCAGAGGGAGTGGGATTCTTGTGACATGTAAGTAACCAGAGACATGAGAAAAATGAAAGAAAGGAAAACAGACAAGCAGAAACAAGAATCTGAAATAAGAAAGAGAGGTAGGATTAAAAGGAATTTTATTTTCCAGTACGTGTCACTATGCTTGCTCACTTGAGAGCTGACTGACCCATGAAGGAAATCCTTCCTGATAACATCAAAAAAAAACTAACCACGAATCAGCTGCCCAACATCCTTTCTGCTGTTACTGCTTCAGAGAAAGCTGTGTATGCAAATTTCATACATGGCTCTTGCAAATTTCACATGATTTGTTATCAAATCTAACCTGGCAACTCCAGAGAAGGGAAAGCTCAAGATGCTTCTCAGTTCACTTTTTTGGTTTTATCAAACTTGCACCCCATTCTAGTTTCCAGGTAAAGCAATTTCCAGTAAAAAGAGAAGTCCCTGAGGATATATGCTCTACAGATCACTGGGGCAAGGAAGGACAGCAGATCAGTCCCATCGCCTCCAACACAATGTGGGGAAGAAGTCATAGTTTCATAGTTAGTAGGGTCAAAAGGGACCTGAGCAGATCATCAAATCTGACCCCCTGCTGTGGCAGGAAAGGGTACTGGGTCAAATGACCCCGGCCAGGTGTTCATCTAGCCTTCTTTTAAAGACCCCCAGGGTAGGAGCCAGCACCAACTCGCTTGGAAGTTGGTTCCAGATCCTAGCCGCCCTGACTGTGAAGTAGCGCCTCCTGATGTCTAGCCTGAATCTAACCTCCGCTAGCCTGTGTCCACTGTTTCTAGTCACTCCTGGTAGTGGTCGGGGGAACAGGGACTTACCCAGTGCCTGCTGGTCTAGTTTGTAAACTGCCACTAGGTCCCCCCTCAGCCTTCTCTTGTGGAGGCTGAACAGGTTCAGGTCCTTTAACCTCTCCTCGTAGGGACTGCCCTGCTGACCCCTGATCATGCAAGTGGCCCTCCTCTGGACCCTCTCCATGTTGTCCACATCCCTCTTGAAGTGCGGTGTCCAGAACTGGACGCAGTACTCCAGCTGTGGCCTGACCAGTGCCGCACAGAGGGCGAGGATCACCTCCTTGGACCTGCTCAAGATGCATCTGTGGATGCATGACAAGGTGCGGTTGGCCTTTCTGACCGTGTCCCCGCACTGCCGGCTCTTGTTCATTTTGGAATCAATAATGATTCCAAGATCCTTTTCTGCCTCTGCACTGACGAAAAGGGACTTCCCCAGCCTGTAGG